GTACCTGTAGGAAAGTAACTGCACAGTGTGTTGGCTAAATTCAACCCATATTAGAACTACAGGTTGGGATGGGAATCAGATGATCCTCCAGCTGTTGCTGTGCTGCAAATCCCAGTGGCCCTACATAGCATAGACAACGGTCAGGAATTGTTGGGAGTTGCAGTCCAACAGCACCTGGTGGACATGCACAGCTTCATCATGCCTAGGCTCATAAGCAGATGAAAGGCCCTCCCTCCATCCCAACAGCCATCAAAGGGAGATAAGAAGAAGCAATATCTTCTGGACTTCATCCTCTCCCATACTGCCATCCCTTCTTCCTTTTGTGTAATGTTTTAATTAGACTGTAAGCCTGAAGACAAGGAACAAGGTATTGTTGTTTTGGGCTGAAAGCAGCATGTACAGTAATGGTGCTATATAAATAGATTATGATGATGACAATTCCTTCCCATATTGTAGTCAAAGAGGTTGGCTAAACGTAGAAATATTAACCTTAAAATGCATCATTTAAATAATGGTTTGAATTGCAACACTATAGCAATGAAACACAGAGGTGTGACTTAAATTTTGTTGGAAAACAGAAAAAAGAAAGAAGGGGAGTCTGCAAATGGTCAGAAGTTTCTTGTGAAATGAGTGACTTTTGCATTCCCAAGATGCTTTCATAGGTTTCTATTATTAGTTGCCCCTGCCATTTAACATTATGGTGAAGCCATTCTATTGGGTTAAATCGCTGTCCAGGAGCTAGCCCTGAGCATGAACTCAAATGATCATGATAGAATGCCCTATAATAAATTAAACTGAATTAAATTGGATGGCATTATGATGTAAATGTGCAGTTATCTTGAGCACTGTCAAATTCCCTTAAGAAATGCATGGCTATTTTATACAGTTTACTCCTCCCTCCTCCTTGCTGCTGCATTTCATCTTTTAAAACTTTATACTTTGGTACTGTAATTCTTTTCTTTCTTTTTTTTAATATACAGTCATTCTTTCCCTAGTATTTCCTTTTTAAATGTATGATGCTTACGATGCCTTTCCTCTGCTTTTATGTAACAGTGAAACTGACTTAGGACGTTATCACACGGGGGCAAATCTGCTGGTTAATCCACACAAAACCCAAACAGAAACTGGATTAGTGCCCTGCATTTTCACATGACGTCGCACAGAAACTGGACAGAAAGTGGACAGAAACTGGTGTTAACGGAGATCTTTTGAAATTCGGTTGTTTGGAGGAAATGCAAATGCGAAATTAAGGTAATTTCGCATTTACCGTAATGTGAAAAGCAAATGCGCATTTGGGAGCATTTCCCTGCTTTTCCCATGGTTCCAGCAAGCATTCCTCTATCTGCGCATGTGCAAGAAGCTCATTTCTAGTCCATTTACGGGCTTTTCTCGCTTTTGTGTGAACGTTAAATGCGCTTACTTTAATTTCGCCATTAAGGTAATTCCATTTGCAGAATCAAGGTTTATTTTCACTTTATTTTCGGAATGCCTCATTTCCACTTTATTATCGCTTTCTGGCCCACGTGTGATAACGTCCTTACTCATTTTATTGGAATTAATTCAGCTGCAGCCTGACCAACTGTATCATAACTGCATTCAGTTTATGGCCATAGCTTTCCCATGCATTTACTAAATTTCTGCAACTTAAAAAAAATCATCTTTTGCCATTACTTCAAAGGCTTTAGTTGTCTTTGTGTTACTGCCTTCTCAAAAAGCTCTTATCTGCATCTCAGACATGATGTTACAGCTAGACTCTAGGTGTTCTTCATCAGCAACTTGATACATGACACTGGGTATATTTTATAACTATTGGTTCTGGAGTAGCCTTTGACTTTGCTCATCATCCTATGAGAGTATTTTTGATGATTGTTCAGCCCCTCCTTTTGAATTTAAACCAGTGAGTGAAATTCATAACCATAATTCTGCTTGAGGCTTATGATACACCCTATAATTGGGCTGAAGCACTTTTGAACTGCTGTTTTCTGAGCAGAATAAATGTCTACATGAAGAAGACACTATTAGCTGCTATGAAAGCAGATCAAATCTGTCCATTTGTATAAGTCCTTCTCATTGTAGCAAAATATAATTGTACATTAAGGGCATCCTCTATGAAATGCCCTTGCAAATAGGGGCAAATATATGTCATTGAATAAACAGTGAGTCTTACTGTTGGTTTTTGGTTTTTCATTCATTTCTAAAACTATATCTATGTCACTCACACCATTAATTGTCTCTGAGTATGTAGATTTCTGCTGAGCATAATTACAACATTTATCCACACTTTAAGGACAGTGTCTA